TTTTTCCTCCCTAGTTGCAGCACTTTGCATTTCTCCTTGTTGAATTGCATTCTGTTGTTTTCTGCCCATATGTCCAACCTGTCCAGGTCTGCTTGTAGTTATTCCCTGCCCTCCGGCGTGTCCACTTCTCCCCACAGTTGTGTGTCATCCGCAAACTTGGACAGAGTACACTTCACTCCCTCGTCCAAGTCGCTGATGAAGACATTGAAGAGTATTGGTCCAAGGACCAAGCCCTGCAGGACCCCGCTGCCCACACCCTTCCAGGTCGATACCGACCCATCCACCCCCACTCTCTGGGTGCGACCAGAGATTGGCCAGCCAATTCGCCACCCACCAGACTGCGTAGTCATCCAAGTCACAGCCTCTTAACTTGTTTACCAGTATGGGGTGGGATACCGTATCGAAGGCCTTCCTGAAGTCTAAGTATACGACATCAACCCTTACTCCTGCGTCCAGGCGTTTTGTAACCTTGTCATAAAATAGACTAGATTAGTCAGGCATGATCTACCTGCTACGAACCCGTGCTGGTTTCCCCTCAGCATAAATTGCCCTGCCGGGCTCTCGCAAATGTGAGCCTTGATAATTTTTTCAAAGACTTTGCCTAGGATGGAGGTGAGACTGACTGGCCTATAGTTGCGTGGGTCCTCCTTCCTCCCCTTCTTGAAGATGGGGACCACATTGGCCCTTTTCCAGTGCTCCGGGACCTGGCCAGAGAAGTAGTAACTAGGAAGGGTTTTAAAGTGACATCTACCAGAGATAAGCAGCTTTAAATCAATGGATTTGATGACACGCACCAAAGAACAGCTGGCAGAGGAAATCTCTGGTCTCATACTAGTATTTAATAAACCTCTGAATACTAGAATTTTAGAAATGCAAAAGACCAAGTACTGACACAATGTTAGCACCCTCCCAAAAGGGATGAGCAGGATGATCAAGGTAAACTTAATGTTGTTAGTCAGACTTCAATTTCAGAAAAGATGAGAGAAGATTCCAGCACCAGTGATCAGGTTTTCTGTAAAAATAAATATGTCTGACATGAATGGACTTAATTTCAAAATTAAAATTACGAGTTTGGTTGAAAGAGAAATCATAGACACATTACTTCTGTAAAGACTTTGACTTGTCTGCATGAACTTCTGATTGACAGCATTATAGAGTGTCAATAAACTGAACATTAGCTAGAGTAAGACCTAGTTAAATGAAAGATCTCAAAAAACAGTCATCAACAAGGTGTTTATTAGCGAGGTTTCCCCAGAGATCAATACTAAGTTTGACACATGCAACACTTCATAAACATTTTGGAAGTAAGTATAAAAAAGTTACTGCTGATGGAAAAACCTGTGAATGACAAAAATCTGTAGAAAGTCCTACAGATCAGCTTGGACTTCCTAGAATGGGCCCAACTCAAACAAAAAGCATTTAGTAAAACCTAATGCAAGATCATACTTCTAAACACAAAGAATGCAGGACAAGCCTATAGAATTGGAAAATGTATCTTGAAAAGCACTGCCTGAAGAAATTTAGGGTTCACAGTGCATAAACATGCTGATGAATTTGGAGCATAAAAATCTGCCAGAGAGCTAATACAATCCTATACTTTATTAAAATAAAAAAAGTGGTACCTCCATATAAAAAAAAAAGAGAGAGAAAAAACCCAAAGAAAATGGTGAAAAGAGATACAATAATGATTTAGAGTCTGGAGAAAATGCCTTGGAGAAACTAAAGAACTTGATATGTTCAGCTTAGCAAGAAGTGACTGAGATAATGACGACAGTGTATTAGTATCTGCAAAAGGGGGAAGTCTGGCATACTACATTACTTTTAAAAAGCAAAGAAATGCACAGAAAGTAATGATGGCTGGGCGTTCAAATCAAACAGAAAATTCTGTCTTTATTTTAACAGTGAGGGTTGCAGTTCTGAGCTCCACATTTTAGGCCACGTCAGGAGTTTTGGTGAGCTGTTGCAGGCCTGGGAGGGAGGCACGAAAGAGGGCAGTGCTGAGCCAGCACAGTGGGGGAGAGGGGCAACTGATGAGCCTTGGGGCCCATCTGCCCCAAAACCCACCGCCAGGGATGTCTGACAGAATAGGCAGGTGTGGTCTCCAACAAGATCAGCCTGGGACCCCTTCAGAAAGGCCATGCTCAGCCAGGTGAATTGAATGGATCCACAGGGACCTGTGAGCAGTGTCTGGGTGCAGGACAGGCAGGGCTGGGATTGTGGGGCAGTAACAGCATGGGGCTGCGGCTTGGAGAAGACCCACGATCCGCTCCCTACATGTCCCCGTGACAGGCACCAGTTCTGCAGGCAGGCATGTGTGGGGAGTGTATCAGGGCTATGCCCTAGGCTCCAGCCCTGCACTGTAACCTTCCTGCAATCCTAGCCACAGCCCTGCTCCCCACCTGTGTGTCTAAGGCCATACTCCATCCATCTGGCTGAGCGCACCCTGCCTGAAGGGGTCCTGAGCCAGTCCATATGGAGACCCTACCTATCTGGCCACTCCATCGTGTCCCCAGGCAGCAGCAGCCAACCAAAATGAGCTGCTGCAGCACAGACTGCCAGGAAACTGATTAAGGCCACTGTACCACCCCTACCCCACTGCATGCCCGGGTGCAACTGGCTGCATGAGCCACAGCCTGGGCTTCTCCCCATTCCTAGGCCAGGTGGAGCCAAGGGACCCACTGCAGGCCAGATAGAACCCCTTGGCAGGCTGGATCTGGTCTGTGAGCTGTGTTTTGCCCACCCCTGGTCCAGAGGCAGATGAAAAAAAATGATAAAGGGGCTTGATGGCAAGGAATATGAGAAAGGGTGAGAGAACTAGACATGCTTAACTTGAAGAAAAGGCAATCAATGGAAGATGTAATAGCAGCCTTCAAATGAAATGCTGCTGTAAAGATGATGGAGCAGCACCGTTTCCTTGCTGCAGAAGGCAGGACACAAAGCAATAGCTTTAAATTGCAACAAAGCAGATTTAAATTAGACCTCCAAGAAGAACTCTATTCCTGTTAAAACAATGAAGCAGTGGAATAGACTATCCAGGAAAGCTGGGAAGTCTTCTTCATTGGCTATTTTCAAGAAGAGGTTGGATAAGGATTAGATAAGGATGATTTAAGAGCATCATATCTGCATAGGGTTGGGTCAGATTGCCTATGAAGTCCCTTCCAGTCCTGGGGTCTATGAACCTGAGCTGGTCATTAATACACAGATATTCTGGACTGTCATCAGCCTTATTAAAATCTTTAATTCAATCTTCAATTTTGCCCTAAATGTTTTGAGAGTTTTGTATTACTGTCTATATGAAACTTGGGAGAGAAAGCTTTACTTACAGTTACACTGTTAACATTCTGAAACTTTACATAGCGAAGTGGGATAATACCATCCTCTTTAATGTCATCTGGTGTTAGTTCCAGGGCTTGGGTTGGTTCACTTCTCTCTGCCTCTTCAAAATCCATTGACCGTGGGAGGTTTATAAAGATTTTTACATACTTAGGACCTTGACCTGTGTTAAGAAATGTTCAATTTTAAGTAACGGAGCCACTTTTTACAAATATAAGATTCCAAAAATATTTTAGGTCAGACAATATTGGTTTGTTATATACTACCACCTGGTGGTAATTTAATTCTTTTTTTACTTTGCCACCTAAAAAAGAAATAATATAGTTTAGTAATTATAGCTTCATCTTAAATAATTTTTAAGCGTGTTCCCCTTTCATACCATGCACTGTCAGTATAAGCACCTGTGACCTATCAAAAACAAAGATGTTTTAAACTACGTGCAATAAAGAACGGGCAAGGTTACTCGACTGATTACTTCTTCCATTTTATTAACCCCTGTTTTTAGTATTTCAGTGAAGATGCTGAGGGATTTCCAGAGGGCACTGGAATCCAGGGACAATGCTGCCAAAATTAGTTGCCTTTGCTGTGACAATGTGGTATTTATAAATAATAATCATACTGCTCAGAAAACAGGTACTGCAGCAATTAGGTTTTGGATATTTAAAAGTCTAGTTAAAATCTGGACACCCACTAAAAACTGTATAAAATGGAAACTAATTGGGAGAAAGTTTATTGTGTGAACAAACAGATGCACATTACTCACCATTATCTGGTCCTTGAAGCTTCATAGAATAAAGCTTGACAGGCTGATTAAAAGCTACAGTAATAAGCAGCTGTGGAAAAAAAAAAAAGCATGAGGCATTTCTGAATCCAGGACACTTTCAAACAGAAAGCAATAGTTAATTAAATGAAAATAAGTGAAAATTCTTATTAATTCACAGGAAATAGCAGAAATGTGAATCCTTCTGTAAAACAATTAAAACATGACTATCATTTAATAGTGCTCAAGCAAAAAGCCTTCAATGAAAGCCATTTCACCAGAAACTTGAAGCTCGTAGTCAGAGGCAAGAGTAAGTAGGTATCTAAAAATCAGAGTCCTAAACCTAGAAAAATCTTGCTCATGGTATCTGATTAGGCTCATACTTTTGGGTAGCTCCATATCTAGATGCTACGTCTAAGGTGCCTAAAAGTGGCCCTGTAGACATCCAAAAACAACACCCACAAGTTTTCAGGAATGAAAAGCTTGAAGCCTAAAGGTCAAGATAACCCCAACACATTTCATTCCCTGAAAGGCTCCAGACAATTTAGGATTCTGTTGATAATAGCAAGCGCATTTTAAAGTATTTGCTCTATGTTTTCAGTGTATCTAACAGTTTATTTCTATCCTTTTTTTGAAACTTCATAGGTAGGGTAAAACTAATTTACTCCTTACCTCCTTTTAAAAAGATACTGTGAACTGAAAAACAAAACTGTTTTACTATTTTAATTCTATGATGTGAATGTTTTAACTGTCTTTATAGCTGGCTGTTGTAAGGTTGCTGGTAAATGCTTTGGTACTCAGCATATTGGTTTAACCAAAAACAGAAAAATGAGAAAAGCTATTACAGTTTTCTCACACAGTTTTTACTTATTTCTCCTTCCCCTTAAACTTTTGGCTTCCATAAGCCAACAAGAATGAAATAACTGTTAGCCAATACACAAAGGAAAACCTGTTTTTGTGAAGGAGATATTCTAAATTTCAAGACACACACGGACAAAGAAAGCCCTCCAGCTCCAATCTCCCATAGCATACCTGCTCATCACAGTCTGATTCCAGATAGGTAGAGTCTTTACGTAAACAGTTATCAAACCCATGCTCATCACTTTCGTTAAGACATTCACAGCCGGATTTATTAATAAATGGCATTAAATCCATCTGAAAGAGACAGTGTTACTAAGTACCTGAAAGGCAACTCACTCAACAGCACTAGTATGTGTCAACTAGTAAAACTTCTCATCATGAACAGAATGAAATCTAAAGAAACAGTATTTCTCTCTTCCCCAGGTTTTAAAACAAAAAGACAACCTTATTACGAAGGCATTACAGTAAGACCATATTCATCTGGTATCTGATAGTTCAAGGTATTGGATACCTCAAAACTACTGTCACTCCCCATCTGAAAGGATAGGTTTTTGTATGTCTTATCATGCAAATAATTTGAAATGATTCCTTTCCAGCTGAAGCTGTTTTCCGGTCCCTTAGACCAGGAAAGCCTTGTTAATTTGAAACGCAGGGAACCAAAAAATACCAACTTTGAAATACTTTAAATAGGTTCAATATAAATGTATGAATAGTAATTTGTATGCACCTAAATTCCTATGGGGATGTATAGACTTAGTTCACCTTGGGGGCAAGACTGGGGTTGGAGGGACCAGGGATAACTCCTCACTTTATTCTTATCAGTTAGTAAGTCCTGCATGTGAGTGAACTAAGTCGGTATATACCCATAGTAATTTACATGCATGTAAATTCCCATGTGTACATTTATTTTGAACACATTTATTTCAAAGTTGCTAATTTTTTGTCCCCCACATTTCAAAATTTACAAGGTTTTTACTGTACATCCACTGTATGAGTTGTATAAACATTTTCCCCCCATTTACAAGATTTGTAACCACACATTCCCTGGAACATATATTTACTAAGATCTCAGTCAGGGAAAAGAGAGTTATCTGAGGCTGTGTTCTGACTTCTTTATCAAACCTGTATCCCCAAAACTTTTTTGAAATGCAGTTTCAGGGCAGGAATTATAACTTAAGTTTTAACAATCTTGTAGGAAAATCCAGAAGTACACCTCTTCAAAGATAAACCATACACCATAATAGAACAGTCTAGTAACACTTGGAGCAATATACTCCAGGCTCCATCTGCAAAGCTAATCTTGTTATCTTTCACATGGAGGGCTGGGGAAAAAAAAAAAGAAACTGCTAGTTTCATAAAAGGCTTTGATGACTAGACAGCACACATTTCCAGCAGGTTTGGTATTTAATGAAGACTTATCAGGTGTTAAGAATTCCCCAGCCTTTTTGAGAACAGCAAAGAACAACAATTGCTTCATTTACTGTATACCAGATTTCTTCATAGCTGAGCTCTCTTGTATAAAGAATCTTGCTAAGGCTCTTCACCCTTTACAAAGTATGAAGAGAGACCACCAACAGGTTACCATTAGGCTACAACTTGTGGCTGAAGATATGATCTACGCTGCAGTGGGCAAAATATGGCCCGCCAGGCGATTTTATCCAGCACAAGGCAGGACTCCACCCAGCCCAAGTGTATGGGGCAGCCTGGGCTGCAGTGCATGTGGCCGTCCCATTGCCCCCAGGCACAGAGGTGCCACCTGGGGCAGAGCACAGCCTGACCTATCCCTACACATGGTTCTCGGGCAGGCCAGGAGCTGTGGTCCATAGGGCTGGGTGGTACAGTGGTTGGACTCAGCTTCCTGGTAGCACCTGCAGTGGTGGCTCGCTTTACCCTCACACTTCTGGCTGCTGCTGCCAGCTTGTCTGCCGTCAACAGACACAGCCTTGCTGATCAGGCACCCCAAACCATCTGCCTTGCACCTACTGCCTGGGGTGCCAGATGGAGTGGACAGGGTGTCCATGGAGACCAGGATGGGACCTCATGAGCAGGCACACTCAGCTGGGCAGACAGGATGGGGCTGCAGGCAGGCAGGGAGCGGCATCTGGGAACAGGAACAGGCGGGCAGCGATCATATCGTGGGGCAGGTACAGCAGAGAGCCACGTCCCAAGGCAGAGTTGTGATCTGCTCCCCACATGCCTCTGCCCTGGCCCTATGATCCCAGGCCTACCCACCGGTTCCACTCCCTGCCTGCTCGCAGCCCCATCCCATCCACCTGGCTGAGTGAACCCTGCCTGTGGGGGTCCCAGCAGTCTCCGGTGAGACCCTACCCACACACCTGCTTCATCAGGCACCCTAAGGGGAGGATGCGGGACAGATGAGCCCAGATAGGATCAAATGGCATCTCTCTGGCTGCCTCCCCACCCGGGGGTGGTGTATACAGCTGTGATGCAGGGCTAAAGCTAGGTCAGCACCCTCCCCCCTGGTTGAACAGCTCATGAAGACTCCTGAAGTGGCCCTCCAGCCCAAATAATTGCTCACCCTGGTCTACATTTTTCCACACATTTACTTAGCATTTATGGTTTGAAAACAAAATATGTCCTAAAGACAATATATATTAGGTTTCCCTCCAACAGCCCTAGATGAAAAAAAACTAAGTGCCTGGAAGTGCTGCTCCCTGCCTGCTTCCCATTGCTCCCTGCCACTCAGCTGAGAAGTGGGGACAGCAATTTAAAAGCCAGAGGGATCAAGTGTTTGGTTTGGGCAACACCTCTGCATTCCCAGCTCTGAGGCCTTTCAGCTTCTCCTTGCCATCCACAGTGCCCAGCTGACTCAAAGCACAGCAAGATGAGGCAGGATGCTGTGTCACAGCAGCAAGTCTTGTGAACCTTACCACCATGGCAAAATGCCCCTGCCTTATCCTGCACTCGAACGCCAGAGTAAGAAGCAGGCAGGGAGCAGCTGGCAGCTGCCCCTCCTTCCCCTCCCAGTCTATGGGTTGAGGATAGCGACTGCCCCCCCGCCCCACATCCCTCTACCTCCCTCCAGACTGATGACTCCAGTCTTGGGAAGGCATGGGAGCGATTCTGCCAGATCAACTCCTTTTGGTCCTGAAGAGGAGTTAAAAGCCAAGGGAAACTGTGCAGATATTCAGTCTCCTGGGAGACGGGAGCAATTTAACCTAAGTTGGTTCCTAGCTATTTTCTTCCGAGTGGCTATTTTTCCTCCAGGAGAAAAAGCTTGAATATTTGCATACTTTGAGTTTCTCCCAAAAGAACAACGATTCTCCCAGTAGAAACTGAACACCTGAACATGGCCAAGGTTTCTTTTAAACTATTTTATGGTAGAACATCTCCCTACCACCCCACAAAATGGCCAAAAGATTAATGAAGATAATCTACATGCTCAGTCTCTGGGTTTAGTGTTGTCTTAACTACTGTTATAAAAGGTAAGGTAGTCTAAGTCCCTTTTCTGCCAGAAGTCCCAGCACCACACAGAAAAACATGAGATCTCCCATCCTAGCTAATTCATACGCCTGAAACATTTGTTTCAAATTGCCCAGATACCTCCAACCTAGATAACAGAAAAATCTCAACCTTAAGTGTCATGGTTTTAGAAACTGGCATGCAAATAAAGAATTGGACTCCAACTATAACTGTGGGCATAACTGTGTGCCTTCAATGTTACAAAATTAATTTTATCCTAGAAAAAAAACCTCTTCATTTTATGAGCTTTCTCTAGTTAAAAAAGAAGAGCATCCACCTTACATACTTTTTACTCATTTTACTTATTTTTAATGTGTTTGGGGCTGTGAAGCCAAAAAGCAAAACCTTTTATAGCTCTGTATTACAATGTTGCCACTCAGAATGTGACATCTATTAGCATAAGTATTTACATTCACATCTCGATGCAAATGCACACTGTGGTACAGTCAACAAGTAATTGGACTACTGCAAATATGAGTGGTCTATATTCCTGTGCTCTATTTACATAAGAAAGATTCAGCTGGAAAGGTAACCTGCTTGTATTTGTAGTGGAGTGTGGCTCTATTTAGCTATGAATTTAAAGTACTTAACATTCAACGAGATGTGTTTTTGCATTTAACAACATAATTCTAGGTTTCACAGATACTCTTCATAGTTAAATTTAATGCATCAGATTTGCTAATGCTAACTGCAAACCATCATGCTACTGCACCGTAGCTATCAAATTACTGACTATGAGAGGTTCTAGTCTTTGAAATAATAGAACGTATTCAAACAAGTGCTTTTATATTTCTGGCAGAAAAAAAAATAAGTGATCTCTTTTTAGGGAGAAACATTATACCAAATATTGCTTAGAGAACGCCACCTAAGATGACAGCTCCAGGAGAGTGTTTTGTCACATTAGGTTTCTCATTTACATGTGTTTGTTAGTACAGCTGTCAGACATGCTTATGATTTGCAATGCACAGTTGCCTTGAGGTAATATGAAAACAAGCAGAGGATGGTGAAAATAATTTCCCGAGAGCACTAAGCATTTCAAATCAAAATACTCCTTAATGTTGCAGTTTAAAGAGATACTTGGAGTTGAGGCCAAAGTTTGAAAGTGTTGCTTGCACTTTCGGCAGCTACTAGAAAAAGAAGGCTGTGAAAAAAATGTTTCAATACTATAATTTTTTTTCAAGCGTTTGAATAAAGATTGATGCTTTTGCTACAAAGAACATTTTTTCATGTTTATTCAGGCCCAATGCTGTTTTTATTACAAAACTAAGAGTTTAAAACAGTTTAGCAGTAATGCTTCAATAAACTGTTTAAATTACCACTTGGTTTGTGCCGAATAGGATATTCCTTTACTATTCAAGCATTGTGGTAAAGCCCTAGTGAGAGTTAAAAATTAAACTTGTTTGTAAGTTTTTTGGTTAGTGTTAACTTAGTCTATTTTCATTGACCAAGATGAAAGGATAAAAGTGATAAGCATTCACAATGTTTATTTTACTACATGAAAAATGTTTGTTTTCAAAATTTATCTTGAACATTATTACACAGAATAATAAAAGTTTAAAATTTTAGAATGTTATTTTTCCTCCACATAAGTCTAAAAATTACCTGGTAATTTAGGAGGAAGTGGTAGAGGAGGAAGAAATGCTGCCAAAAATAAAGACATTCCTAAAAGACTTTTTAATACAAAAATACTTAATTTATTATTAAGTGAGAAGAACAGTTTCTAAAAGAAGCTTGACCTGACAGAAAACCTGGCTTCATCAGTTTTAACAGTCTAACCTAAAACATATTTATTTTTAGGCTTAACCTTTCCCAATTGTTAAGCTGTAGTCTGTATTTAATGTGTTGTTATTCTTTAAATTTGTTTCTTAAATTTTCAAAATGCTGATCGTAAAATATTTCTCCAAATATCTATCCCTCCAAAAATGGTATGTTGATTTTAACTTCAATGAAGATTTATGTTGGTTGGGCCAAGGAAAAAAAAGTTACAGGTCCTGCTCCTGCAACTACATTAAACCATGGTTTTCTATCACAGAGAAAACACTTGCTTACATTTTTTAAAGAGCAAATAAATGAAAATTCAAGCGCTTCAATCCTTCCAGATGCAAAAGATGAGATGCATGACAAAATAAAAAAGTGACTGTAAACTTACAATAACCAAAAGAAAACTGTTGTCGTGCTTTAACTGAAAGAACTCCTATTGAGCCAGGTATTACTTTGAATATCTTTCTTATCACCAGACAACTGCTACTTATACACTTGTGTTCTATAGGTGAGGGAGAGTAGTAATATTCTGTGATGTGGTCCAGTTTCGCAAAAGTCATCAGAAATTATGGAAAACCATAACATAAATCATTTAACTATGCTCCCAATAAGCCGCTTCCAGCAAACGTCTGGGCAGAACTGCATCATGACAGCACAGTGAATGCTTGCACATCACAAGGATGAGAAACTGAAGCCCATTACTGTGGGTTTAGGGACTACGGTATTTTAGATCCACCATCATAATGAATTATATTAATTGCTGAATGTCTTGTGTGGTTAGAATATCACATTTTACTCATTTCATCAAGTTTACAAGGGACATTTAGGTTCTTGTGATTTACCTTGTCTACTACTTCCCTTTTACCATTGTGCTTTATAGAGAGCCAGTATGTGCTCCACAAAGGATCAGCAAAGTGCCAGAACAATTTAAAAAATGTGAAAGGAAGACAAATGAATACGCAGTAAGAAAAAAGGCCTATGGAAAATACTGAACAGGTAGCAGAGAGGAAAAACTAGGGTACATTCACAGAATAAACTTTAAAGATTTTTGCCTGTTACAGAAATAACTGCCATTTTCTGGATGAAACTTCTAGAAATGCTTGAGGAAAACAGATGGAGAAGTCTGAGGGGAAAAAACCCTGCTTATTAAGCAGCCATGGTAAAATCTTCAGAATGAAATTTAAAAATTAAAAAAAAAAAATTAATATCCCAAACAATGGGGAGAAATCTCCAATGAGACAGGAGCTTAATGGGCACCTATATATGTACACTGAGGCTGCTCTGACGCACTGTAATTATAGTACATCGGAGCAGGCTCAATTATTACTAATTACTACGCTCCAGCCGACTCCAGCATCTTGTGAATCAGCGTCCCCACACTGAGAAACAGCAGAGGGGGCGCTTTAACTAAAGCTAGTTCGACAAACTTTAGTTAAAGTGCCCCCACTGCCATTTTTAGAGCAGGGACACTGATACACGAGACGCTCCAGGCACTCTAATTAGAGCGGCTCTGAGAGCCGCTCTAATTAAAGCACCCCCCCTCTCCCCTGCTTTCCAGACCATGTGTATAAATACCCAATAAGCTAACAAACAGAATTTTTAAATGCTATATTAGCTCCCAAGTATGCATACAAATCTCCAACATTTTTGAGGAAAATGAAAACTAAATGAATGTTCTTCCCAAAAATCATACACACTAAGATTTCTGCCTAACATTACTCAACTTAGATAAAAAGTTCATTTTTAAAAAGAGATTGTTTTGATACAGCTTTTAAATATTTACTTAAACATTTTAGAGATACTTACATATCCTTTTGGAATATCGGTGTCCTCGTTATTTCCAGGATCATTCTCTAGATGCTGTTTAATTTTTTCTTCTAATCCTACAGCATCTGCTCCTTGATACTGGTCAATTCGCACTTTGTTTCGGAAAAACAGAAATGTTGGTGTTGCTGATATATTATTGGTTGCAGCTGTTCCCTAAAATAAATGAGTTATTAGTATAGCACAATACAACTAATATCAAATAAAAATTACTAAACTCAAAGACAGCCCCATGCTCAAAGGAGTATCTTTATTAATAGGTAGAAATGTTAGCAATTGTGATTATCTGCAGGTTGGCATGTCTAAAAGTTAGTGCTGGGGTGCCTTAAAACCGAAGGCTTTGGGAGAAAGAGGCTTAAGAAACCTCTAGCTTACCTTGTTCTCCACCCCTTCAAAAAGAGGGTATAGCCACATTTGGGTAGCAGATAAATACCGTTGCTGTTACTGTTAACAGCAAATACTGTAGCTTTT